GTTCCATAAAGAAATGAGTAAAAATGAAGAGGAGAAAATTATCAATCGATTTAAGAAAATTTCCCAGAACTGAAGGACGAGAATTTCCAGACTGAAAGGTCACACCATAACTGAAGGTGATGTCCAGCACTACAGGAAAGAAACAAATCACATAAATGAATATCACGGAGACACTTCAGAGCACTGGCTAAAGAAGAGGGAGGGAGGTGGGAAGGGGGTTCAGGATGGGGAACGCATGCACACCCATGGCTGATTCATGTCAATGTATGGCAAAACAACTACAATACTGTAAAGTAATTAGCTTCCAATTAAAATAAATAAATTTAAAAAACATTTTTTTAAAGAAAAGGGATTCTAAAAGCTCCTGAGGGTGGGGGATGAGAAGAGAAGAGGGAAAAGGGAAGGGAAGTCCCATACCAAGAAGGATGAATCAGAATACTCCAGATATCTCAGCCTCAAAGCTGCTACCTGGAGCATAGTAGAATCCTTCAAATTTTAAGAAAAAAGCCCTTAAAATCTATAATTCTAGACACCCAGTCCAACTATCACAAAAGTTAATGGTAGACTTAGGACATTTTCCTGTTCAGATACAGAAATGTCTCCATATCTACCTCTCACGCAGTCTTGTAGGAAATTACTAGAGGATGCACTCCATCAGGAAAGGACAGTAAACCAAGAAGAGGTAAATCTCAGGACCTCAGGATCCAAGGATGAGGGATCCAGTACAGGAAGAGGGCAAAGGGGATTTCTGGGATGCTGTGATGGACATTCCAGGAAGACTCCTGAGAAGCAGGTGGTGAGAACAAATTTCCAGATTGGAGCATTAGGAGGCAAGGTGTGTCTTCAAGAGAAAAGGGAAATCTGAGATTATCCAAAGTGTTAGAATATATTAAGAGGAAGGTAACGCTTTGTAAAGCAACACAGGGTGAATAAGACATAAGCATAGGGAAAATTAAGCCAAAAAATAAAAAGATGAAAGTATAACTATCTAGGGAGGGATTGGGGGCAGGAGGAGAAGGGGACGACAGAGGATGAGATGGCTGGATGGCATCACCGACTCGATGGACATGAGTTTGAGTAAACTCTAGGAGTTGGTGATGGACAGGGAGGCATGCTGTGATTCATGGGGTCGCAAAGAGTCGGACACGACTGAGCGACTGAACTGAACTGAACTGAGACAACAAAATTTTAGAAGAAAGTAATTGTAATCATTGTGTTGATGGAACTCAGAATAGGAGACCCCTAAATATACCCCTTGGCATATTTAATATTTTAAGTTGAAAGAGTCTGAGAAAACTGAATAAGCAAGAGGGCCTCTTTGACCTTCTCTTGACCCTCTCCCCTGAAGCAGGTCACGTGATCCTTGCTTGAGAGGTACCCTCCCTATACCTATAGGAAAGGAACATCCTTGTCTCTAGGACCCAGAATCTAGATGAACAGGTCTTGCTAAGTTTTCCTTATCGCTTCACTGACTTCACACCCTTTGTCCTATCACATTTCTCCACAGCTGTCCATTCTTCATCAGACATAGCAAAAACATTCAGATTTAACCACTTCTTCAGATCTTCGTTTCTTTATGAAGGTCCCCATGTCATGTAGCAGTGTTAATCACTCAGTCGTGTCCAACTCTTTGCAACCTCAAGAACTGTAGCCTGTCAGGCTCCTCTGTCCATGGAATTCTCCAGGCAAGAATACTGGAGTGGATTACCATTCCCTTCTCCAGAGGATCTTCCTGACCCAGGGATCAAACCCAGGTCTCCTGCATTGCAGGCAGATTCTTTACCATCTGAGCTACAGGGAAGATCCTATGCAAAAATGTGTTAAATAAATGTGTATGCTTTCCTCCTCCTATTAATCTGTCTTTGTCAGTTTAATTTTCAGACTCATTCAAAAGAGTCAAGGAAAACATTTTTCCTCCCCTATAGTATACTACATGGGTCAGCTGTAAATGATATTTAAATGGGCATAATAATAAACATTGAATATTGGTTTAGCAAAGAGGAAGCTGTAGCTATACTAGAACAAAGAAAGGGTAACTTCATGTTTGAAGGACAGGAGTGCCAAGGTTAGAAATAAGAATTTATCAATAGTAATAAATTGAACAAAATAGTATTATATGAATGTTATTTATAAATACCAGGAAAAAGATCTAAAAGTTGAAAGTAGTTTTTGAGGAAAAATAATCAGGAGAAGGAAGGTAGAGAAGACTGCTGTTTTGAAATGATAAACCTTGTGAAATACTTGATTTTTTAAATTTTAATTTAGAAGGTAGAAAAAAGACTTTTATCCTCAGAGACTCAAATTTAATTTATAAATAATGACAAATGAACATTTTAATGATGGTTGACTTAGGAAAATAAGGATTGAACAGGTTTAGACTCGTGACTTCCTGCTGGCACATACTGAGGGCATAATGATTCATAACTGGTAATACCATTAGGATACTTTCTGAGGTATGAGATTCTCATCTTGAATACCATCACCGTGTAACCATTCTGCCAAATTTGAATGGTCCTATTTGCACCTCGCAGTCTTTCTTCCCAGGTGGCTCAGTAGTCAAGAATCCGCCTGCTAATGCAAGAGACACAGGTTTGATCCCTGGGTAGAGAAGATCCCCTGGAGAAGGAAATGGCAACCCCCTTCAGTATTCTTGCCTCGAGAATTCCACAGGAGTCTGGCAGGCTAAAGTCCATGGGGTCATAAAAGCATCAGATAGGACTCAGTGACTAAACAAAAACAACAATTTGCACCCAGCAACCCACCTGTCAGACTGCTATATGGACCAATTTAGATGGCAACAGGGAATATAAGAGTGTTTCCATCATTAACTGTCATCATAGCTTGTTTGTCATTTCAATTTAATCTCACATTTATTGCAATGAGAACTAACACAGTGCTGGCATTTATCTGCTATAAATACCAAAACGAAACTTTGGCATTATAGGAAACATGGATATTTTGATAAGGACTTTCTACCATACCATCTTAGTAAGTTTTAAATGGTTGCAAATTATAGCTATTTTGGTAACATCATCAATTTTTTAAAGAGAAAGATCTATTGCTGAATTATTAATAATAGGTATTTTATACAGACAAGATAGTTGTATAAATTTATCAGCACTCTGCAAAGAGGAAGATGCATAGCTTCTTCCTGTTTTGTTTTCTTTTTTTTTTTTTAATCAGTGTATTTTCAGGTGGCTGGTGATAATTCATCCAAAACAGATAAGAAAGCTTGGTTATAACAATAAAAAACAAAGAGTAATCTGTCTCTTTTCACAGTCCAGGTCACCCATATCATTCAAACTATACAAGTAAAAATCACATTCATTTTACATTTTCGTCTGGATTAGCTGTAATTTCTTGGCAATGAACTAATGAAATCGGGCCCATTAAGGGAGGACAGCTTCCTAGGAGTTGTCTATTTATCTTGTTGAGAGAGAAAAGAACTCTCTCTAAGGCAGAATGGGGACAATGCCTGGCATAATCAGCAAACTCTCAGTTGTCTGGATTGATATGGATGTCATTTCCATGTCAGAACCAAAGACTAGAATTCCACTTTGCTGTTTAAAGTCAATGGAAAACTGAAGTTCTTAAGTTTCAACCAAGAGGCAAAAGAGAGCGTTTGAAATCTTCCACATAATATCTCTAGACAATACACAAGATATCTTAACTGTAGTTGCCTCCAGGGGGGAGAATTTGGTGGGTAAAGGTTAGGAGTGATGAAGTAGGAGTTTGTGATAGGGGATTAGTGGTTCCTCTTACTATAGTTCTTGAATTTTGCACTGTATCCATATGGTACAAAAGTTTTCTTAAACTAATTTTTTTAAAACCCTATACATAAGGAAGTATCTATAGTCTTAAAATATTCATATAATTGCTGTTATTCAGACTCAGTATTGCCTGATAGCATAGCAGTTACAATAGTTTCTGTTCAAGAATATTCTGTAAAACTAAGTTCTACCTTAATATATTCCATAGCTTTTTTTCTTATGCATACATCACAATTTCTCCCTAAATTCCTTTGGTTTCTGGTATGTGTGCGTGTGTGTGTGTGTGTGTTCACAGCTCAGAGTTGAATTTTTATGCTGCTTAAAGGTCCTTCTACGTTCATTTCTTTGGGGATTATCAAGTGTGCAATGTCCATTAGCCACCAACTAAGAGAAAAGAAATGCAGAGAGATTAAGTGGCAGATTTAAGCGGAGTTGTGAGAAGCAATACAAATCAAGAACAGTACCATTAAAGTACCTAAAGTTGTATTTCTAGCTGTAATAGATGTCTAACAATGTGTATTTTTCATTAGTTAATAAATACATTTTCTTTGCTGTCACAAAACTGCCAGGATCCCCCCCCGCCCCGCCACCTCTGCAGCCCCCATCACCTTCATTTACCTGCATGAAAATAATCCAGTTTCTAATACCTTAGAGTAAGAGGATGTTAAAATATGAATGAGCTGACAACAGTAATAGCAAGCAAATCTCATAGTAGATTTTTATTTTCCTACCACAAGTTTCAACTTTTTCAAAGCTGTTTGATACCAAACAAACTTTCAAAACATACAAACATTAACTGAAATTGATATTAGCCCTCCAACTTTTCAGCTAAGTTTGTATAAATTACACTGTGTTTATATGATTTCTATCAGCTGACTAAAAAAATGGGAAAATGCAAGGCTAACTACCTGGTGTCAAATAATCAGCTAAATTTTAATGAGTGTTTTATGAGTTCTTTGTTTACAGGTTTTTAAATAAACTAACTGGTTAAGTCAGGAAGTCCAAATTAGTATGTACACATAAATTTTGAAAATTTTTTGATGCATATAATCTTGAATAAATCTGTCTTCAATATATTCTCCAAGAAAACAAACATTTCCTCTATTAATTCTTAACTGCAGCATTGTGGAAAAATACAGTGTGGCTCCTACGTTATGTAACCGTGATTTACAGTTAGCACATTTCTCCCTCTTTTCCTGTTGGTCTTGTGCCCAGGAATTGAGCCCTTACCTCCCATGTATTCCATGAATCACAGGCGTGCGCCTTGTACTTCCGGGGCAGAGTTGTTCCCAAGGCATATGTGTCACCCGCCTGGGATCTTCTTTTCTGGTTTTGAGGCATCAAAGGCGTCATCTTTTTCTTCCCCAGTCAGCGCCTCAGTTCCATCTGTGCTCACCGGCTTGTGTTTGCTGTGTTTGGCCCAGTGGACTCCCCAGGGGTCCTTTATTCTTCCTTTCTCCTTCTCTGGAGGCTTATTCCCTTTCATCCTCCCCACCCAGGCCCAGTTTTGCTGGGTAACTGGCTTTTCTCTTCTGATTTATGCCTGGGGTAAGGCAGCTGTCTTTTAAAGATAAGAACCAGAGAACAGAGATATCAAAAAGACATGAAGAATAACCTAGGAAACACAAAAAAAACCCTTGTCCCTAAAAATGTCTTTGTCATTAGCTTTTTTTATGCTGAACACCCAGATTTATTTCCTCTTGTTCCTCAGTTTGAACAAACCAAGTTAGTCAAAGTGCCTCAATCTGAGAAAAATAAAACAGGGAAAAGGCTGTTTTTACCAAAGTAATACAATATAAAAAGGGACTAATTTGAATCTTCTTCATTTTTAGTAACTGTTAAAATTATATTAGTATAATAAAAAGGAAGTGATTTTGCTCTAAAAGAAAGTATAGGATGAAAAGATGAAGCAGAAGAAAATAAATGGCAGGAACACCAAGGAAAATGAAAAGCTAAGTAAGGTAAGCTAAAAATCATGAAGCAAAAGTAATACATGGTTATATTATATTGATAAAGTTAACCTGTACCTTTAGACTCACAAAATGGAGGCCACCACAGTGGCCAGGCCAACATCACAAATCTAAACCTAAGCTATACTGCACTATGGAAAATCCCTGTCAAGAAAATTAACATACACCAGTCACTGTCTTCCATCTCCAACTCAGCTTGACTAAGCTCATCTTAGAAAACAGGGCCTGCTGGCCTTACCAGGAAATCCTTGACCTCCTGTTTCCTAGTTCCTACTTCTAATCTATGCATGCCTCACCTCCCTCATTTATCAAATGGGAATACAAGCCCTTACTCCTACCGATACGGGCAAATAATGAGGACTACATGCATAGGAATAGCAAATGTCCATTAACTATTCATAAAGACAAGTAATAAAATATGGTTCGGGATTTTGAAATTGAATTCTATGCTCTAGTGCGCACACAATTAAATGTAACTAAAGCTGGGTTTAAATTCTAAATGCTAACTGAATTTTATGATGATTTCCCCAAATGAAACAGTCATTTAAAAATGAGTAGTTTCAAAAGGACCATCCATACCAACTGCCTAGCTAAGCAAGTCACTTTAGTTTCCTGGAAATGGGTATCCTTATCTGAGCCTAAGAGCCACTGAGATAATTTCCATTCCAATTCTAAGTTTTTATTTTATGGTATTTGCTACAAGAACTGATACTCATTCACTGATTAATTTGGAATATCACAAATTAGATGACATGATGGCATAATTCTTAGTCTTTATAATTTATGAGTATTTTAATTTAGAGTGAAGAGAATAAAAGGGGAAATATGACCAGACTAAGAGGAAAAACCTAAAGGAAAGACTGTATGGAATCCTGCAGATCTCTGATTTCATTTCTATAACTATTAGATCACTAAGGCTGTGTGCAATTAAATGTGTTAAGTCAGAAATTCCTAAACATCATGGTGCATGAAACTAATGTGAGCCTCTGGCTTAAAAACATTAATTTCTAGGACCTCATCTCTAGAGGTTCTGATTCAGGAAGTCTGAAGGATGAAGCCCTTGAATTTGTATTTATAACAAACACTCAAGGAAATTACTCTGTAGGCAGACCACAATTTGAGAAAACATTGTGCTAGGTGGTATTTCTTATGTCAAACACAGCTTGATTATTGCATATTAGATCACATAATGTATGGGAGCTTCCCAGGTGGCACAATGATAAAGAATCTGACTGTCAATGTAGGAAACGCATGTTCAGTCCCTGGGTTCCTGGCAACCTGCTCCGGTATTGTTGTCTGAAATATTTCATTGACAGAAGAGCCTGGTGGGCTACAGTCCATGGGGGTCACAACGGGGCACATGCAAACATCCCTATAATATGAACGTATTTTCTTCTCACAAATAACTACCCACAATGGGTCTAGAAGATCCCCTGTACCTGGAGAATCTGCATGGACAGAGGAGACTGGCAGGCTACAGTCCATAGCATCGCAAAAAATCACACACGACTGAGCGAGTAAGCACACACACACACACACAAGCATGCCCTAGTGTTATCCACAGGGAGAGCTACTGTCATCTGGGAAAATATAAATATGTTTCAATTTGGATGTAAGTTCTTCTATGTTGTACATGCTAAGCAGCAGTTAAACAATTTAATGTTTATGTTTTTCTTTGTCCTTAATCACAAAACAGGACTGACCTGAAACACTTCTTTTAAGGATTACGAGAAATAAGTATTTCCAAAACTCTAAAGCGACTTTAAACATAACACTGATGGTCATACTTCTTCAGTTCATGATTCTTCTCAAGTGTGTAGGGTTCTTGAGAGCAGGGACTGCATCTTTTAAACTTCTTTTAGTGAACAGCTATTATCTTCCCCGGTGGCTCAGCGGTAAAGAATCAGCCTGCAAAGCAGGAGACTTGCAGGAGACTGGATCAGGAAGATCCTCTGGAGAAGAAAATGGCAAGCCACTCCAATGTTCTTGCCTGGAAAACCCCATGGACAGAGGAGCCTGGTGGGCTACAGTCCATGGAGTCGCAAAGAGTTGAACATGACTGAGCGACTAAACAACAATCTGCCTAATATCCCTTCCTGTTTATTTTGGTAACAGAATCCTGATTTTCCTTTGGGAAACCTCTGTTCTTGCATTCTCAGATCATGTTGTTAATGCAGAGGAAAGTGGCTCCACTCTGGATCCACTTGAGTGCCTATGACTGGACTAGCAAGTCAGAGCATCCCATTCCTCCCTGCCACTGTGATTGGTTTAGGAATTTGTAAGTATCCAAGACCAGCCAATGGGAGCCAGACCCAGAGATTTTGCTGAAACTATGGGAAAGACACCTTTCTTTTTGAACTAGCTGAACCTCCAACTAAATGCAACCTGGAGTGATGCTCACCATCACAAAAGAAATCCTGACTGAAAACAAATCCAATGAAAAAGAAAAGAGAACCAAGAGTTTGAAAGACTTGTCTGATGACATTGTTAATCACATCTAGACTTTTCCAGCACAAGAAACTACCTCTGGCTCTCTCTCATTCCTAGGCAATTATCAGGCAGTTGGAGGTTTTCAAATGCTGACTAATTTGTTTGCTAATGAAATAAAAATCCTTAGTCACAGACTACAAGGCAAAATTGTTGCTCAAATTCATCGTTGCAAAGTTTTGGCTATTCATTCAAAAGTAACGCATTCATGTATGTAACTGAGAGGTTTTTCAATTTAATCAGCAGAGCAACCCCAAATATCTTGTATAACTACTAGACAGTAAAATTAGTCACGATCCATAAATTATACTTCTTTGTACAATTAGCCAAATAATTCCCTTACTTGTTACCCAAAATCATTCAGTTTGAAGGATGAGTCACAGCCTGATTGTCTGGTTTTAGTTTAAAATCTCGGAACTCAGAGCTCTCTTAATCCTTGCTGTTTTTGAAATCTGGAAACTGTCATTTACCCTCAGTTCCTGCATCTGTAAAAATCTACTAGGATAAAGGGTTCACTAAGTAGGTAGATTTGAGGTTTTTCTCTTTGATCATATAGATGTTTTTAAGTTAAAACAGTGGCTTGAAGTGAAGGACTCTTTATTCCTTTAACATACTGCCATCATGTGGTCACTTTGCTCATTCACATTCAAGTGTTTCCAATATACTGTTTACAGTGACGCCTTTCTGCAGCAACATGTAAAGCAGGGAGCCCTCAAAGAAAATGAGAATGAATAGAACACATCCTTCCCATGAACTTAGTGCCAAGTATGGCATAAAATAGGTATAATTTGCCAAAGATGTGAAATATACATGCAATTTGCCAAAGTCCAAGATGGAATATGGTAGGAACCTGAAAAATTTAGACTACATGCAAAGGAGACTCAGGTGAATCAACTGTCTTAAACTACAATCTATTTTAAAAACTTAAGGCCATAATTTTAATAAATCTATTTAATAAAATTTTACATTAATTGTTTATTAGTTCTTTGCAACATCTCAACAATCATCTTCATTTTATTTCTGAGCTGCTTGAGACCCATAAAGTATTTGCCAGATGTCTCAGTAACCTAAAAGCAAAAGCGAGGCTTTACTCATAATTTGGTTAAAAAACTCTGGACTTGTAGAGCTTTATGTAGTTTATACTATTGTTTTTGTGTCCTGTGAGATAGATAAGACAGAAGAATTAGAGAAGATTCCATCAAAATTTTCTGGCTTTAGTGCATTTCTTTACTGCATTTTGTTTTAAATTTAGGTGCTCCAAAAAGTTGGTTTCATTCAATCGGATGGATCCATATGAAAATACCGGTGAGTTTTGAGATTTTGTATTGATCTATGATTTCCTATAATCAAAGGAAAATTCAATAAAAATAGTAGGATTAAGTTCTATTATAATATTGTCAAATTGTTTCCAGAATAAGTTTTAGCACCTAGAACAAATTAGAGAAGTTGTGCTTTTTAAGTCTCTCTCACACACAAAATGTTTCTACTGCTGCATACACAGGACACATACGTACCAAATTCTACATTTATGTAATTGCCTACATCATGTCTGCAAATTATTCTTTTAAAATATCACTCCCATAGATTGCATACTGAGAGGTCTTCTCAGGCCTGCTCACATTTGGAAATGCCGTTATCTCAGACTCCTGGCCCTTGGCACTACTATCTTCTCAAATTAGAAGCCTATACAGCCAAAAGAGTCTTTTACAGTCTGCTTTCCTCCTCTCTTACACACAACATTTTATTAAGATTAGCAACAGGATTAATGTTGATTGTGTCCCTCTCAAAATTCAAACGTTCCAGTCTGCATCTATAGAACTCCAAAGGCAACCATATTTGGAGATACTACCTTTATAGAGATAAGTGAGTTAAATGAGGTCATTTGAATGGGCCCTAATCCAGTATAACTGTTGTCCTTATAAAAATGATAAATGTGGATGCAGAGACACCAACAGAGGGAAGATGAAGTGTAGACAGCAAGAGAAGACAGCCATCTACAAGCCAAGGAGAGAAGCCTGGAACAGAGCCTTCCCTCTCAGCCCACAGGAAGAACCAACCCCGCAGATGCCTTGAGCTTGGACTTCTAGCGAACTTGGACTTCTAATCTCCTGGATTGCAAGAAGTTCAGATCCATTGTTTAAGCCACCCAGTTTGTGGTACTTGCTTGTAGCAGCTCTAACAAACTAGTGCAATTAGCCTGAGGAAAATGAATTATATTCACTTTTTAGGCCATGTGTATCTTTATGGCTAGCCCTTAGTTGTTGAAATTCCAGAAGATAGAAAAACAGTAAATTGTTATTTTCACGGAGAAGTGTAAATGTATTAAATCATTTTTGAGAAAAAGTAAGCAGATGGAAAGAGATTGTATAATTTTAATATCAGAGTATCATGAAGGAAGGATTAAAAATTGGTACTTTCAGGCATAAACTCTGGCTTTGCATAAATTTTGGCTTTGGCAGCTTTTCTTCACCTGTAACCTCCTCTTTCCTTTCTCAGCCAAACTCTGATCAAGCTATGCAAAGAAGGGACCAATTATTTTCTTCCTTAGCCCTCAATATTTCAGGCCAAGAGAAGAAATAGTATCAGATTGATTTTCAAGTGGTCATCTTTTGAAGATCTCTGCCCAGAGGAGAAGAGCAAGTGAGAATTGCTGATGACTGTCAATCTTTTTGGCCATACAGAATCTAAACACCCTTCCAATGATGGAGCCTCCCTCATTTTATTATATGAGCCTGGCTTTGACTACAGAAGGTGAGCATGCCTGATACTGGCTTCCATAGCTTCTCTCTAGTTAGAACACAGACACCACAACCAGATCATGGACCAAACAGAGCTTAGACAAACTAAATCAGATGCTCCAGTTCCAAAGATGCAAGAAGGGTTCTAATTTAAGCTAGAGAAGCCAGTGTCAGCCACATTCATCTTCTAGGGTAGAGGAGCAGTACCAGCAGCGGCCCCCAGGGTCTATTATCAGCAGTGATCAAGTCATGCTCAATGACTGTGAATAGACTCACAGTTCTTCGACTTGACTCAAACCACTATTCACAGATCAGTAGCCTAGTTAAATGCCTGCCACAGATTCTAGAGCTGTTCCATTTGTGTTCAAATCATCCATTGTTTCTGTTTCTTCCAACTAAAACCTCTGACACACACAAAAAATTTGTATCTTTAATTTATCCTTTAATAAATGCAGAATCATGGTAATTGCAGGCACGAAATTAAAAGACGCTTGCTCCTTGGAAGGAAAGTTATGACCAACCTAGACAGCATATTAAAAAGCAGAGACATTACTTTGCCAACAAAGGTCCATCTAGTCAAGGCTATGGTTTTTCCAGTAGTCATGTATGGATGTGAGAGTTGGACTATAAAGAAAGCTGAGCGCCGAAGAATTAATGCTTTTGAACTGTGGTGTTGGAGAAGACTCTTGAGAGTCCCTTGGACTGCAAGGAGATCCAACCAGTCCATCTTAAAGGAGGATCAGTACTGGGTGTTCACTGGAAGGACTGATGCTGAAGCTGAAACTCCAATACTTTGGCCACCTCATGCGAAGAGTTGACTCATTGGAAAAAAGACCCTGATGCTGGGAAAGATTGAGGGCAGGAGGAGAAGGGGACGACAGAGGATGAGACAGTTGGATGGCGTCACTGACTCAGTGGACATGGGTTTGTGTAAACTCCAGGAGTTGGTGATGGACAGGGAGGCCTGGCGTGCTGCGGCTCATGGGGTCGCAAAGAGTTGGACAGGACTGAGCGAC